CCATACACGATAAATGGCTTATGATAATGATTATTTGATTTCATATGATAAGAGAACCTTAAGCTACGCCAGATTATCCTATTAAAATTAGGATCCGCATAGGAAAAGTCATTTGGGTTCTGGGTCTGAGTATCCCTGCTCCTTCTAGGTTTAAAGGGCATCCTGGATATATTTGTCCAACATCTTAGTCGAGCTAATGTATTTTCTGAGTTTTGTACTTAGTTTAGTACGACGCGTAACCCAGACCATTCGCCTCAGTTTTATTTGACCCTATGCTCAGTACGGGTTGGGTGTTTTCCAAAGCTGATAATATGGATAGATCGTTAGTCAACCAAAATGTTTGCTTTCGAAGGCGAGCAGTTACCGTCGAGAGAACGTATTTTTCTAAGCTCAATAACTTATTTCTGAGTACACTGCACCGTTTACGCTCTAGATTGATCTGGATTATTAATTATCTAGTTTAGTAACACAGTTCGGATTGAGATTTTGTAGTCCTTACTCTCAGACAAAGATATTTATTTATACCTGGCAAGGTGGAAACCAAACAGAGGTCCTCCTTTTGGTTGGAGCTTTCATTCAGAGTTTTGTTAAGTCTTTTTGGGAATTAATCTTTAACTCCACGATCGACATATCTCCTGCCCAAACTAAATGTACTCCTATCCCGGTTTTTTGCTAAAAATTACGTCAATCTCACAGCATTTTTAACATATTTACATTTATATACTCGCAACTTAGCAAAAAAAAACGATTGCTTACTCTTTTTTTATACCCAAGAAATGCTTACCTTCTGGACTCATCGTTACAACCTCCGCTGTTGGCAATGCCTCACCATTCGGGCCGCAGGGTGATTGGGTAGGTGGCGGTGGTGTGTGCGTGGTGAGTGGCGTACGCGGGTAACTATCGAGCGGTGCATCCGGATGGCGTATGTCGTACAGGAACTCAGGTATTATAGGAACTGAAAAGAGGAAGCGCAGAGGTGAGAAAAAGAAGAATGCGAATTAGAAGAGAAAACGTTAAATGTCGCCTTACAGGATGTTGTCAATTAAGTTAGCATTATGGTGTGTGTGTGTGTGTGTGTTTTGTTTTTGTTGTTGTTGCTCTGCGCGTGTGCACACTTTTAACAATTTGCAAGCAATTAAGTAAGGCGGCTGAAGTTTAGTCGCTTGGCACGTTGATGGTTTTAATGCGTTTAAAAGCTATTAAGGGCCATTTTAATTGTATAGACAAGTTGTAAATTAATTGCAGTGTTGCTGCTACCACAGATTTTTTCGCTTGTTTCGCTTGTTTTACTTTTTTTGTTTGTTGTTGGTTGTCGCTCTAGCGGATGACCGTCTAAGCCACAACGTTTGTTGGGTATTGTTCTGTACTGCAATTTGAGTGCCTTGCGTAGACGAAGGCAATTTCAGTGAAGTCAAATTGAATTAGGCCAAACGCATAGTGATTGAGGTGACGGCGAGCGTATACAAGAGTAGTTAATTACTTTTAGTGGTTTTTCTTGAGTTTCTTTTTTGTAATTTAAAACTTTTGAAAAACATATGCATGTACTCGTATATACCTCTACATAAATTAGCACTTTGAATAACGCTATTGGAAATCGAATTATGCAGACATTTTTACCTTATAGTTTCAAGAAAGGATTAATACATCGTGAACTAAGTAATTAGTTAAAAGCTGCCAACTGTAATAGAAATAACATTGTAGGGACGCAAGAATAACAAAAAAAAAAATCCGAGACACATAAGCTTAACTTTGGGTCCTACATTATGGATCAGTATGCTGTTTTTCTAGATCAGGCAATATTCCCAAAATAATTTCAGTTTGAGTTTGCATTGCGAATGAAAAAAAAATATCAAACTTTAACATGGAAAATGTTACTCATACGCCATGTGCGAGTATGTACGAGTAGGCTCGTGTACGATATGGCGTACATGAGTAACATTATTTCCTGCTCCTATTTCATATAAAAAATTAGTGCAGTTTTCATTTTACATTCACAACTTGTTTATTAATCCATCGATTTTCATGATTAGCAGCTTGATTTTTTATTTTTTTTTGTAAAAGAACAGGCTTTAATACAAATAAAAAAAATACAAAAGATTTGTTTTTTTCCTTCTTAAAGTTTAAATTTTTTTTTATAAAAATTAAAATTTCTTGGAAAAATTACCTGTTCTGGAAAACCGGTATACGGATCCATAACACCGTGCGGCAGAAAATTTTACACACAAAAAACTGAATATGTTTGCGAAACTATGGATAAATTATAGTCAAACTGCGTACTTGGTTTTTCTCCCTGACGTCAGGATTTCTTTTAAGGACTTGGAGATTTTAAGAAATATGACTAATTCAAAAAATTATTTCAAAAATTCGGTGCAATGTAGAATAACAATAAGGGTATCATATAAAAGAAAAAATTCTGTAGAATCATAACAGAATAAATGCTTTGGTGCATTAGGACGAATGGGTATGGAAAATGTTCTTTACAAATTCTATCCTTAAATATCCTTGAAAATTTGCAATATTTATTTTTGAAAAAAAAAAAAAATTTTTTGAGGACTAATATACACACGGCCTCATCATCGAATTTTGTCTTGCAAACTTAATTAACTTAAAAAGATAAAATTTATTAAAAGCGCATTTTCAATACCTATTCGTCCTTGTAAACCAAAAAAATTTATTGTTCTAAATTCTACACAATTTCCTGTCTCATTTGGTACCCATATTGTTATTCTACATTGCATTGATCTTTTTTAAATAATTTTTTTAATTAATCATATCCTTATCAAGGTCCTTTGAAAAAAGTCCTGACGTCAGAGTGAAAAACTAAAGACGCAGTTTTAATATATTCCCTGCGAAGTGAAGGAGATTTTGAATAACCTCGCCTTGATGCGTATTGTGGCTACATGATCGTTCACCGGGGTGCGCGACAGTACTCGGGGACGAAGTCTCTCTCCACCACAAATCCAGCACCGAATTTGCGCCCCTTTACATGACACCTGTAGTAGACGTTTCTTTCCTTGCGTTGGCCAATGCATTTTTTTGATGGCGGTGATGTCAGCATGGTCCTTACGAGGACATCAAAAAGCTGGGCAGAGGCACCTTTACCATTAAGGGTCCTGAATTTACAGGTGCATGCCTTCATATCATAGTTCTTTAAACGTTTTCCGTGGTCGTCATCAAAATGGGAGGTCCCATCCAAGGCTTTGTTATTTGTCTTTACTGGAAGGGGTTCTTACGTGGCGGGTCCCAAACCCATTGTTGAGAGGGTGGTGGTTTCTTAACCGAATACACGTTTATATAGGGAGCAGCTTGCTCCAAACAAACACCCGCTTGCAGCCGCACCTACTGGTGAACAGACTCTACGGACTTCAGTAAGACCTTAAACCGAATAAGGCGGGGGGTTGCCCCAACGAAGCTCGCTCTCTTTCTGCCGCTACCCAAGGCTCAACATGGATTGGTTACCGCATCTTGCACATGGATTGCTCACGTTGCCCTAAGGGCGCGATCGAGGACTCAAGCGTCGGCATTGAGTATAGCCGTGCAACTGTAACTGCATACCGGGACCAACGAGTGCAATGGGTATATACTTCTATGTACGGGTAACTGAACTTATTAGACAAGCATGCCTTACTGCGAGTCTGTGGATATATTCTTAACCCCCTATTGCGGATGTCTATTTGCACTCCAAAATTGGTCACGTGTTTGTAAGCAATTAGGTGTTATTTCGCTAAACAGTGCTGATGCAACTTAACACGGCAGCCGGAAAGTACATTCTATTTATATACATAAATAGGCACATATGTATGTATATGCATATAAAAGCAGTCGTAGGCTCACTTTGAAGCAACTCGCTTGCATAGTATACATCAACAAATGCATTCATCAAATAAACCACATTTCCGCAACGTGGTCGTTTATTGCAGTTTAGTCCACCAGACAACCATTTATACAAGTTATGAGTAGCTGTCGGCAGCTACAACGCAACCCTTGCTGACGTTTTATGTTGCTTGTGGCCGTAGATGCGATGTTGATGGCCTTGTCGAGGTGCTCTGGCGCCGGAAGTGGGTCGTTGTAAAAACTTTTACGAAATTCAATTTGTTATTTAGTAGCTCACTCACTTTGGCTATGCTTGCGCCCCTATGCCATGGGTTCTCGTGCTTCACAGGGTGCGCTGAAAATTCGTCATAAAATACAAAATAAATTTCACTGGGTTTGTGTGTAGGAATGTATGTGTTAGAATATGTATGTTAGGGCGGGTCAATTTGTATGTTGGATTTTTTCGACTATAAGCGTATAGCATAGGAGGATTCTACGTGTAATTCTAAGCAAATTTACCAAAGAAACCATGGGTGTAAAATCAATTTAGAGTTTGCCAAATCGCGGAAATATGCTTCTTTTACTTAAAATTTTGCTGTAGTGTCGTAAAGAAGTGCTTAAATGAGTTTTGCACAGATATAAAAACAGTGGGAAAAACTCTTTTCATTGATATCTCATAAGTTTTCAAGTTTTTCTTAAACCAATCTGTGAAAAATGTTAGAGAACAGTTGATTTTTTTTGATATTTTTATACAACTTTTTTAAGCTTAAACTGTTTTGTTATCTAAGGTGATTTTTTGCAAAAAATACTGTTTTTATTCACACAAAATTAAAATTTTGGAGGTATTTTCAAATCGGTCCAGCTCACGTAAATCGTTATCTTTTTCCGAAATATTTCGATGAAAGTCTTAAAATATAATAGATTTTATAGATTCCGGTGGAAAAACAGTACCCAGTTTTTTTTTTTTGTATGGGGAGTGATGCAGTCTAATGTACATGTATATTAGAGTGGTCCAAAAAAATTAAGTTGGAATTTTAAAAATCATTACAAGCTCTTAACTCGCTTTGCTTGTAAATGCTGGTTTGCTAAGTCAAGTTGTTACCTAGATTCTGAAGTGCCAATTGCGACAAATGCAATTAAATGCAGGGCGAATGTAGTTAATGCATGTGAAATATTTTGCAGGTTATTTTAAGTGTTACAGCTAATAAGTATGTGTTACCTATGTACATACAGTTTTTAGGGTGCTTCTCTATCCCCTTTGATAAACAAAATCTTATCCAAGACGGCAGCAAAGGCTGCCAGATTGACTCTATGAGTGAAATATGAAATACCCGAAAGGGCACTGAAAGATATTTACAACTGGATGAGAAAAGTGTGACTCAAAATTAATTCTATGGATACGGACTTGTTACTTTTTAAAAGGAAGTATGTATAAGATTCCAGCCCGATCTTCACCCAAATATTAAGGAAATAAACTCCTAAAATATTTTTTAAATATCTAGGACTTGTTATGGACAATTAATTGGCGCTCAGTGGAGCCAAACTGGAATATACTGTTCAAATTAACCCAGCAGTGAGATTAATGAAATCGCCACGCTAAATTTCTATCGCTAAAAATCTCCAAATGAATAATGCCTGTACCTAGAAATATACAACGCCTCCGGTGAAACAAAAATAACATATCCATATTGCGTACGATTTTATATTGAATCCCTTCCGCTTTCGCGTTTTATATATTTAGGCCCATAAGTTATCCATTAAGATATTTTTAGTCAAGACTACAGAGCCTTCATTTTGCAGTCGATTTGATTCAAAAAAATTTGACAAAAATTTATATCTATGTATATATATATTTTTTAAAATTTTTACAAAAATTTTAGGTATGTAGTTTAGCCCATTAAATTTTAGTGTAATAGAGTGCTGAGAATGTACGTCGATTTTTAACATTTTTCTGCTGACAGTGCAAGGTATTTTCTTCCACATTCGTGGAGTGCGGTCGAAATATTAGCAAAAAACAAAAAAAAAATCATCTCGATTTCTTAACCGCATGAAACTTGCACATTATTTTAATAAAATTTAATAGGCTATACAAAATGCGTACTTAAAATGTTTGTAAATACAACAATTCAATTTTTTCTTTTA